TCCAGGTTGACTGGAGCGGCCGTGAAACTCGGGAATGACGAAAACGAGTGAGACAGGAATAGAAACGTTCATAAATTATCCTATTAAGCAGCGACTTCGACTTGTACTTAAATGACACCGTCGAACTCGCCATATTCGTTCCTAATTAACTCCCTAACGACCCTATTCGTGTTAACACGGTTCCAATTTTATGTCAAATTCCCTTATTCCGTGTTAACACGATCTTACTGTGTCTGTCTGAGGTTATGTAAGACAGTGTACCGATACGGGACAGTATACTTCATATAGAAGCTATGTAATCAGGTAAAGGGCCCATCTCGAGGAATAGGGCCCTTCTTCCGAAGAACTCGTCGATTATCGTTTAGCGATTCGAGTTGGTCGATTTATGGGTCGTTAGGTATCAGGTCAGATCGCCAGGGTTAATATAGAATAGAGAAAGTACGAGTCTTATGCAAAGCGATATTAGAATGTTGCATCACGGTGTAGAAAATGCTTCGACGGTAAGTACTCCGAGGAGATTTAAGACGGTAATTGGAAATTATATCGAAGCGTTTACGGGGATTTAAGGCCTGCTTACCTCGGATCGAACGAGCAAATACCCTATTCAGGCTGTGGAAACGAACATGTTAACTCGTTATGGAACTATAAAGCGTAGTTTATAGGTGCCAGATTTATCGTCTCTCGATGATTCAATTTCCCCGGACTTCATTAAGTATTTAATAGCACAGAAATAACGGGCCGAGCTGAATGACTTATAATTAACCCTTTGACTGCCACGCCGAAATCACTGTTTCGCTCAGAATGCTTCATGGGAGAATGAAGAGCGAGCGTACCTGGCGTGAAAATTTTACAGAGAGTGTTGTAACAAAAATGTTAAATTGTTGGCATCAAAAATTGCTAAAATTCTGAACAAAAAGGTGACCACTTACTTTCTAGATTGCATCGACGAGCCACGTTTACGTTTAAAATGTTTTCACACAGTACACCGCTCGATGCAATATTTGTTCTGATATTTTTTTGATCGATGTTCAAATAAAAATTTTTAATCGTTCAATGGGGCACTTTTTATTTCAAAGTATCTTCTAATTCGCGGTTATATTCAAAATGCACTAGCTGTCAATTTTCATTCAATTTTTACGATTGGAAGTGATTCAAGTAGTCCGGCCACCAATGACCATCATAGCGTCACAGGAGGAAATATGACCAGTCATATATGACTAACGTGGCAGTCGAAGTGTTAATTACAGAAATCAGTAATAACTGGAAGCTTTCGATAAGATTTAAAAAAAAGAACCCGAGTAAAGTAAACTGAATTAAAAATTCTAAATTAATCGTGTCATTTAATCTTATGCAGCATCTTATGTCTGCATCCTTTCACCCAATTCGACAATGAATGACCGATTAAGTGTTAACCGGTTACAATGTGCCGAAAAATACGTCTTATATTATTCCAACCCCCTCCATCGGGCGTCTGTAACAGGTATCGTTTCGGGGATCTATTTATGCACTTCCAAGAGGCTACTCAGCGTTCCTCGAGGACCCGTTTCCGTTTCCGGTGTCTAAGTCGGTAGAAGCGTGTTCGAAGAACGTGCTCAAAAATTTAAATATTTACAAACCGCGCGAATGATCCATAAGGCGAGCGAAATATCCGCAAGACGGATTTAACTCGGGCGGCTATTATTCGAGAGAAATTATTCGATTTATTAAACGTAATCCGATCTTAATCCAGACGGATTAAATGCAACTGTTCGCGTCGAATTCGATAGAGAAGGTATTAATAGAAGCGTATCAACGCCACGGGCCGTGGGTAACGAAAGTCGAATAGGGGGTGTTCTTGCCGCGCGCCACCCCGAGAGGGTGCTTCCTGCGGCTAATGAAATATACCGGTGGTCTAATAAAAATTGCACCTAACCGGCGGAATAATATCCGGCTATGCTTTCCGACACGGTGAAAGTGCGAACGATTTCGCGCAGCAGGGGGCACGCGCCATTATCGATGCACCGCGTGCCCTGGAAATACGCCCTGAAAATTTATCGTACGACTGTTGCCGCGTCATCCAGTCGCGGAATATTAATAAGCGCTTTGCTCGTGCATTTCGCGCGGGAATAATCGGCGACCGATATTAATAATCTTCCTGGACTCATGCTCGACGTGCGGGGGTAAAAAGCGAGAGAAAGATTAGAGGGGGGCCGGGCGGGGATAGCGAAAAGTGATCGGAAAACGAGGAAGTTGGGTGAAAAGAGGAGCCACATTCGACGAGGGGAGAAAGCTATTAGTGTCGGGCGAATTAAAACGAGTTGGCGAAGAACGTCAAAGTTCGGAGCTTTCTCGATGGAAAACTTTCGAGTTAGTCGCGTCCGCTGACCCGAACACGGTTTCTCACGGCGAGTGACAAAGGAACAAAAGAATATTCTCGTCTACTCTTGCTCTGTTTTTCATTTTTTTTGTTTCTTTTTTTTTACAAAACAAACGTGTTTATTTCTCATCATGGTTCTTTGCTGAAATGGAAAGTGGCAATTAATTTAATAATCACGTAACAGATCGTGAATACAATATATATATATATATGTATGTATATATATAATATATGCGTGATCCGATGAGCGTATTTACAACAATACAGTACAATCGATAAATCCGCAAGTTTCTGGAGAGAGTCGAGATTTGCTCCCGATACGAGACCAGTTATAAGTCCTATATGTTAGGTACGAGTGCCTGGCCACTTTGATGTGCTCGAGAAGTGTGCGTGAGTTATTTACAACGTTAGATTATACACAGTATGTACAGGAGGATCCACTTACAGACTAATAAGCGTTTGGCGACCGTTGCTTTTTCCAAAAGACAGTCGTGAATCTTAGGAACGAGGTGTCTCGCTAGACGTCTCCTGTCTTTTCACTCTCTCATTCTCTCCCCGATGCATGTATATATATATATATACCTCTCATCTTCTTCTCCCTCTCTGACACATATTACATTGATTTCTCTCTTAATACTTCCACTCACTCGCTTAATTATCTGACTCTCTCTCTCTTTCTCTTTCTCTTTCTCTCTAATTTTTCTCTGGCTAACGAATCGACGAACGAACGAACGAGCCGAGCGACGAGAACGAGAATCAGGGGTGCGTCGCCCCGCTTCTACGGCGAGGAAAAATATAAGATTAGTACGAAGAAGAGCCGGTCCCGAGACACGGGACACGCACCACGCGTATTACACACGCGTTACACACGCGTAGTTCTCGTCCTTTTCCTCGTGCACGATCGGCACATGGAACGCTTCGACGATCCGTAACGCGAGCTCGATCGAGAATCGGAGATATTTTCACCGGTGGAAAAATATAAAATATGTCACCCCGCGACGCGCGGTTCGGTTGGAAAACGCTCGATCGCTAAAGTAAACGAAGATCCTGGGAAATAAAAATTAATCTCGAACTAAATATTGTCCATAGCAACGGAGAAACAGAGGACCACCGCGATGGTTTCCCGTTTCCGCTGGAACGAGAAAGGGGGGGGGGGGGGGGGGGGGGGGGGTGCCGGTAACCGGGCGAATTTTCGTCGGAGAAGAGAGTTTATGGTCGATGGGAGAGAAACGAGGATCCTCGATCGGCTTTAATTTCCCCCGTTCTCGTATTTATAATCGACAATCGGGTTTGTCTCGAACGAAACGAAACGAAACGGTCGGAAGATCGCCGTTTTCAAAAAGGAAACGAAAAGAATATTACCGATTTTTCTCACAGTCTTTTAAATAATAAAGTACACGCGTTAAATATCACAGCGATCGCTCGATCGTCTCGAAGGCAGGAAAATATCGTGGAAAATTTCATTCGATCGAAACCGATCGCGGCAACCATCGCGCTCGGGGGGTCGCGTGGCGAAAGAAAACAGCGCGTATATGGAAAAGAAACGATTAATACCGAATCCGGTCGAAAGTTGTAAAATTTCCGAAAATTCTGCGCGAACGAGAAAATAAATAAGGCGCGCGTGGCGCCGGGAAAAGAGGGCGAAAATTCAGGCGAAACGCATCGCGATTGATCGATCGATGGATCGATGGATCGATCGATCGAGGTGTGCGCGGTCGCGGTGAAATCGGCTAGCCTCGCACGGCCGGGAGGAGTTATTTTTCAAGCGTGATCGAAACACTCGACGTCGCGAAAGCTCCGGTGACGAGGAAAATTTCGAGTCGGAGCACCGTCACGGCCTTTTCGCCTCGAAATCGAACAATATCCTGAACGATAGTCGCGCAACAACAACGAAGAAAAGCTACGTCTACGTCGTTATCTCTGGGGGTTGCTTCTTCTCGGTGCCTCCCTTTCATCTTAGGCCCTAAAGGAGCGACGAGAACGATATCCGAGGACGTTATCGCCTTAATCTTCACGCCGCGACGTCAACTGGTACGCGCGTAAAGTCTCTCAGCGTCGAAGAATGCTTCCTCTCTGTCTCTTTGTCCGTCCGCCGGTAGTACGTAGAAACAACGACTGGATCGCGTACGATTGGACGCGACGACGGAGCGTAAACGTTAGAAAGAAAGGAATATCGAATAAACCCGCCCTCTCGATTTATCGTCGATCAACTTCACGCTTGTTCGCGTCGAGGTAAACGAAAGAGTCGAGGGGCCTCGCGTCCTCTGGAAAGCACTTTCTCGCGAGGCCGTACCCTCGATACGATATCCACCCCCTCCCAAAAGCCCTGCATAAACGATCCTCTTCGTTCGGGTTTCGTCGCGAGCACGGAAACCCGAGGAAGATCCCTAGTGAACCGATTCTAGTGGAAGAGCAAACAGACCGACGCCGGTCGGTCCATCGCGAGCAACGAACGAAACTGTACAAATACCCTACGCGAACACGTGCGTTCCTCATTCTCTCCCTTTCTCTCCCTTTCTCTCCGTCCGCACTCTCATTCGATCCTAGAGCGAAATTTCTTATTATACATCGCAGGCTCGGTCAGAGTCCAGCCTCTGACACGGTGCACCGTGGATCGTCGGCTGACCGACGCGTACCGTCTATACTAGACGAAATAAGTACGAGGATTGGCTGGATGCGTCAAGACCTCACCAGGAGGCGCTGTGGGCACCGGTGGTTCCGGTATGGTGCTGTAAAGATGGCTGCCCCTCGAGGAGAGGCTGGCAGGCCGCGCGTTTCCGCTGTGCAGCGCGCTGTAACCGCCGTGCTGATGTTGATGCTGGTGCTGATGTTCCGCACCGCTGTCCTCGTCCTCGGTCCTGCTGGACGCCGAGCTGACATAGGTGGACTGCGTGGGCGTGGGCGTGGGTGCGTGCACCGGTGCGACCAAAACGCCATTAGGCTTGGTCCACACGTCACCGGCGGACGGTGCGGCCGTGTAACGCGCCGGTTTGCGATTTCGGTCGTTCACCTTCTTGCTGTCTCGCCTCTTGCCCACGGAATCGGGCATGGCGAACCGGAGCTTCTCCCAGAACCTCTTCTCGCCCCACATCAGCACCGTGCAGGTCTGAAGGAGCAGCTGCAGCTCTGGATCACGGGCCGGGGCCTCGGTTGCCAGCAGAACCACCACGCGTCTCTTCCTCGAACTCGGTCTGATGTTCTCCAGCGCGGTCCTCAGGGCTGCGCGGAATTCCGTGTGCTGCCACTCGTTGATGAGAAAGACCGGCGAGAAGATTATGACTATGCGTCTGGCGGCTGCCGCGGCCGGGGGCACGGCTTCTTGCGGCCTGGCCGGTGGCAAGTCCCGCCAGTGGAGACAAAGGGCCAGGCCGGATTGTTCCAATTCGGCGGCCAAGAATCTCGACACGAAATCCTCGTCCCTCTCGCTGTACACGATATAGCCGTCGTACAGGCGATCCCTTTCTTCGTCCGGTGGCGTGGTCATTTTGCCAAGGCGGAGACCGTAACGGGCATGAGCCCAAAGGCGCACGTCCTGGCGGAAAGCGAAGGCTAGCGCGACGAACAGGCAAATCGCGATCACAGCCACCAAGGCGCCGGCTAAAAGCGGCACAAAGTTGCCACCGAGCAGAGGGATTTCCTGGATGCCACGGCTCACGGCCTCGGTAGACGGATCGCCGCAACGCTTCATAGCCTGTGCCAGCGTCTCGACGCCGTCGCGACAGTACATCTTCTCGGGATCCCCGCGATGCTCTGCCAGCCAGGCGCGCAATTTAGCAGCGTTGCCGCACTCGCAACTCCAAGCATTCCCTTCCAGGGCGACCCTGGTGCTGTCTCCGACACTGGGCAACGCTTCCCATGGCCTAAAGTTCACGATCCGATTGCTATCCAGCCTCAGCACCTCGAGCTTCTTCATCTTCTTGAAGGTCGTGTTGCCCACGGTCGCGATCGCGTTGTGATCCAGATAGAGCTCCGACATGCGTTCCAGCTGATCGAACTCGAAGCCTCGAAGCTCGCGCAGGGCATTGTCCTCGAGGTGAAGGACGCGCAACGCGCCCACGCCGTTGAACGTGAAATTGTGAATGGCCGATATGCCGCTGTTGTTCAGGTACAACACCTCTAGCCGACGCTTGCCGATGAACACGTGGCTACCCAGGTCGCCCAGCTCGTTGCCGTCCAGATAGATCTCGGTCGCGTCCATGGGAATTCGTTCGGGGACGTGCTTGTAGCCCGCGTTCGAGCAGTCGACCACGTTGCTCGACCAACTGTGGTCGTGATAGCACGAACAATTGTCCGGACAGGTCATCTCGCAGTCGCACGCGTCGAAGTCGCAACAATGACAGAGGGCGAAACAATGCGCCTCGTATCGACAGAGGAAGTCCTTCGGTTTCAGCGACAGCAGCGGCCTCCGCGGCGTCGCCCGTGCGTGCACCATCTCGCACGTGACCGAGTCTAGGTCCATCACACGCGGGTGCTGTCGAAAGCGTGCCATCTCGTTGATCCTCGGCAACCACTCCATGGTGCAGTCGCAGAGAATGGGGTTGTTGCCTATGTAGAACTGCGGCAGCTCCGCGTCCTCCGGCACCGACTGCAACGCCAACGCGGCCACGTCCAGATTCCTTATCTCGTTCCCGTACAACACCACTTTCTGCAGGCTCGTCTTCTGCAGGAACGTACCCGGGGCCACCGTGCGTATTTTGTTGTTGTTCAGGAACAACGTCTCCACGCTGTCGGGCACGTTCGCCTCGGCGATCTCGCTGATTTGGTTGTAGCTCGCGTCCAGCATCTTTATACGCAGCGTGTTCCGTACCGCGTAATAATTCCCGAGCTCGCTTATCTGATTCGCGTGTATGTCCAGCCATTCTATGTTGCTCGGCAGATGACTGTAGTCGAACCACAGCAACTTATTGTCCGACACGTTCAGCCAGACCAGGGTCGAGAGGCTGGTAAACGCGCCGCGGATCTCGGTCAACTCGTTCCCGTCCAATCTAATCGCGCACAACACCGAATTGCTCGCGAACGCGCTCTGCTCCACGTGACGGATGTAGTTGTTCGCCAGGTTCAACACTTGCAGCGCGGGCAACGCGGTGAACGCTTCCCGCGACACGTTCTCCAGCTTGTTGTCAACCAGTCGCAGTCCCAGCAGCTCGCGCAGCCCGGCGAACGAGTCGTTGTCGATTCTGGACACGTGGTTGTTGCCAAGGTCGAGAGTCTTGAGGGAACGGAGCACGCGAACCGAGTACGGGATCTCCGTTAGGTAGTTCCCGCTCAGCGATAGATCCTGCAGACCGGTCAGATTGTCGAACACGTGACGATGCAACGATCTCAGTTTGTTGCTGTCCAGATAGAGTTGATTCAACGTGGGCAGACCGATCGTGTGCGCCGGATCGAATTTCGCGATGCGATTGTTCGACAGAGTCAACGAGTGCAGGTTCGTCAGAGATCCGAAGCAACCGTCCACCAACGTCTCGATCTCGTTGTGCTCTAGTCTCAGGATCTGCAGGCTGTACAGTCCCTTGAACACATGGCCGTCGATCCTCGTGAGCGCGTTGAACGACAGGTCGAGCAGGACCAGACGCAGAAGCCTCGAGAACGTGTCTCTGTTCACCCAATGGTTTGTCAAGTCGTTGTTGCTCAGGTCCAGTATCTGCAGATTGTCCAGATTGTCCAGCAGACCCGGCGCTAGCACGGACAGCGAGTTATTGCTGAGTACCAGTTCCTTCAATTCTTTCGTCTTGGAGAAGAGTTCTGGCGGCAAAGCGACCAAACGATTGCTGGACATGTTGAGCGAGTGCAGGGCGGTGAGGCCAGCTAGAGCGTGATCACCCACAGCGTTTATCGCGTTCTCTTGCAGCTTCAACACCGTCAGGCTGCGCAGATTGCTGAGGGCGCGATCGTGCAAGGCGCTGAGATCGTTGTTACTCAGGTCCAGCAGCTCCAGGCTAGGTGTGCACGACTCTACCGAGTCGGAGAATCCAAGGGAAACGATGTCCTGTAACTTGTTGCGCGTCAGGTTCAGTGTGGCCAGGCTCTGCACCGGGCAGAGCAATTCCGACGGCAGTGTCCAGAGATTGTTGTCGGCTAGGTCCAGATGCTGCAGATACGTCAAACCGCGGAGAGAATCCCTGTGCAGCTCCAAAGTCATCGCTGACCAGTCTCCGTTGTGCGTCCTCACGGACAGACTGCGCAAGTTGTGAGCCGACGCGAAAACACCACCTGGCAGGTAACGAATCTTGCAGTAATCCACGCGAAGCTTCTCCAAACGCGGCAAGGGAGAGAAGAAGCCGTGGGGTCCCTCTATCTGGCTCTCGAAGAACAACACGTCACTGCATTCCAAGGCCAAAGAACCGATCGAGTCCACTTGAATGGCCGAGAGATTGCCAATTAGGCTGGGCACGTTGGCGATAGTCCTAACCCTACAGGCCAGCTCTTTTTCCCCGTCTTCTCCGTCCTTTTTCCACTCGCAGCCGCTCGGTGCCTCGAGACTGGTGATGCTGCGGCCGAGTACCAGGCCGACGTTGAAGAACAGACACCAAGCGATCACCAGCAGCACCGCTGCCAAACCGACCCGTGTCGACTCCATTTCGACCGATTGTCGCACGCGCGTCGCTCCTCGCCACCGGGCCCTTAACTCACTTCTCGTCGCGATCGTCGTGTCAGCCAGTCGTCCTAGCGCGTTCCCGTCGTCACGCACTCATAGTCACTCTCTCACAGCGCGCACCACTTCTCGCCGCGTTCCACCCGATTCGGAAACGCGGGGCACACGTTCCCGTTTCGCGTCGCCGAGTAGCGCGAGAGAACAACCGGACCCGAACTCTTCCCGTCTCGATATCGGAGCAGAGCTATCTCGTTGCCCGTCGGCAGGGATCTCACACTCGTCGAGGAAGCACTGAGCGAGGGTTACACGCCTCGCTCGATCTGCCTGTACGACCGGAATAATAAACACCGATCGGTCATAACCGCACTAACGACTGACACATCAACGACGTACTCAAACGGTCACTATATACGATCGTGTTTCTTATCGCGTCAGAGACCGATCGTGCGATCGTTCGCCGAAGTCTCGACCCTCGTGAGAAAGTACGTGCGCACGAACGAGCGGAGAACGAAGCGCGGCGACGTTCCACCAAGAACGTCGGACAGCAACTGACTTCCACTCCGAATCCCTATTCTATCGACGGTCACGCACCCTGCATGACTGCCGGCGTGCAGCGTATCCCCACTCCTATCCCCACCACCGGCCGCGCGCGCCCCCACCACCGGCAGGATGTATCCCTCCGACTGTCCCCCGTTGAATACGAACGCGCTATAGTAACGCCCGACTCCTCGTAACGCTCGCACACAACCAACGTCCGAGAGTAAGCGTGCTAGCGTTTTGCGCCACGGGCGGCTGCCTCGGCGAAGATGCAACAAACCAGCTGACTGACAACGCTACTTACTAGGTAAACACCAAACTGGTTCCTAGGCGTACGGGCGCGCATTTATCAAGCGGCTTCTCTCCCCATCTTCAAGGGTTCCTCCCCCTCCCTCGGGCTTCTTACCTTCGACGAGCTCTTCACCGGGGTTGTCGCTGCTTAACAAGCGACGAACAGCCGCGTGTTCCATCGCCTTCCACCGGACAACCCCCGTGATTTGTTGTCTTTTGCCCCACCGACCATTTCTACACGCGCGTGTCCTCCACTTCCGGCTCCGCGGGTGGGGAGATGCTGTGCTCTCCGACGAGCTTCTTTCATAATTCTGCGGGAGAAGGTACAGGGATCGCGTTTTGAATTTTTAACGTGCCGTCGAGAGATGGAAATTTCGTACGAGTTGGAAGAAACAGTGGAGATTTCGAAGTCAGTAAGAGTTCCGTGGAATTAAAAACAGCAGACTCGTGCGATAAAATTATACTCGGGGTAACAATTATATTTCTTTCGCGGTGCAGTGAGAGACGCGTGTTATCTCTGCGAGAACTAGGAGAAAGCGCTTTCTTCGAGGAAAGATATCGCTGTTTTCAGAAAACGTTCGAGTCTGCGATACCCCGCGAGCAAAGTCGTAATATTGGTATAATTCGTCGCGAATTATATATTACGAATTTCAATGTTGGAAAGATCGGTACGGGGGAGTTGACCTGTCTTGGCAAGTCGGTTGGAAATTAGCGAATATTTTACCGCGTAATAGGAACTGGAGTGAAAAAGTAGCGTAGAAAGAAGCGGTGTAGCGAGAAGATCCAAGGACCAAGTGTTTTTGTAGCCGACTAATTAAGAAGGAGCGCGGTCTGTGATAATAAGAACACGGTGTTAATTCCTCGTACCCCGGCGTTACAAAAGCTTCGTAAACGATATTGCTTAAAAGTCTGTCGGAGAGGCTGGCCGAAGACATTAACACCTATCGCTACGTTCTACCCGGAGCGATCTAGAAGCATTAACACCTAGCTCTAGATTCCTCTCTCGCCCGATCCACGATCCTTAACACGTCCTGATACGCAGCTCGAAACCTAACGAATGTAAACATATATCAATACTCGACCTGACGCGAATGAATTGGAAACACTGCCAGAAAAACTGGTCCGGCGTCTTGCTCGCGGTCAAAAGTCTAGTTTTTCATATTTCAAACGTTAAGACGTCCAATGACGAAATATCGCTGTACTATTTACTATCGTAAAGCAAGAACGTTTAACTGGAAATTAAACTCGAGACACTGAGAAATTTCCCGATAATTTTTAACCTAGCTTTTCTCCGTTCGTTTACTCGATGATGAAGCAAATACCGTAAGATCTATTTTAACTTGAAATTGAATGTGAGACAATAATTGCTTCGCTGCTCGTTTCCCCATATTTTTTAACGAAAGGTAGCTTTCCTTTCAGGGGTGGATTCCAAGATGGAGCATGCTTCTGGCGCCATCTACTCCGCGGTCTCGCAACTACGCCCGGTATTTCGAAAAAGAGAAACTTCTTTCTCCGATTTAACACGTTGACGACCGGGTATTTGATCATCCTTTCACGTAGGACCGGAAATATAATAGACTTTTAATTTAAATGACATTGCTGTACTAAAATTGGTTTATTATGGCTCTTTTGACAGACCACTTTACACTAGCTGATCATTCCTTCATTGAACGCTGGAGGATAGTATTCTTCCTATATTACAAGAAAATAATATTTGTACGAATTTCTTCACGGAAGAATGCCCAGCAAAATTTCGGAATACACGTGTTACGATCTTCGAAAAACGTAAAGAGTTGAATAACTATTGCGTAATAAAATAAAACACAGATAAGGATTTAACAATCCTATATGCCAGAAAAGATATTTTCCAACACGTATTAACAAATGGGATCGTATACCAATCATTTTAAGTAAAGAAAAACACGATAGAGTACATAGGCGTAGACAAAGGGAATTCTCCATGACCGGTTGTGAATGTTCGAGCGACTAAGCACGAAGATTTCCGTGATCGATTGTTATTATCTGCAAAGTTCAGGAAATTTTTAAATCGTGGTGAGCTAACAATTTTATATAAATGAAGGAATCACAACCTATTGAATTGCTATAGCCATTATTTCAATTTGTATAGGTTTTTGATTAAAATTTTCAATTGTATTGACATTTTCGACTAATATCGTAACCTATCGAATTGCTATAACCATTTCAATTTGTATAGGCTTTTGATTAAAATTTTTAATCGTATTGACATTTTCGTCTAATATCGCGATGAGCTAATAAATGAACGTTCGAGGGGACTAAACACGGAGATTTCCGTGATCGGTCGTGAACGTGTTAATATTGGTCCATTTGAATCTAATCTTCTCGGTTAACGAATAGTAACGCAGCTAATTTCCGAGTTCATCCCACGCTAGATCGGTATCGATGTTTGCGTTGCATGCTATCAGAAACAGCGGCAGAGGTAATGGTTTCGTTATATTCGTTCGACGAGATGGTTACTCATCTGTCACAGCGGCGTACGTAAGGCGATGAATCACGCGAAGTATACCGGATGAACATGTGGGATTATAAATTCGGAGCCGCGGAGCGCGAGCACAATGACGAATGGAGGCGTTCACGGTTCCGAACGCGCGGGTTTCCACACTTCATTATGTATTTACGGCTTGTCAAGCTGATATCACTTCCTCGTGGTCAAAGATTAACCACTTCGGCCACCAATTGGAATACTTGATCAACCTAGTCAAATATTCGCCGGATTAATCGCGAGACGTGCCGTTCGAATGGCCTCTGAAACTTGTATCGACCAATCAACTGTCACGAGGGAAATTGAAATGGAAGGGGAAAGAGAAAGAATGATCGAACTAATCTGAGAAAATTTCGAATTTCTCCAATTTCGCTTCGTTTTCTCCCTTTTTCCTTTCCCCGATTATAAATTATTTCGCGTTAACCCTGTTTGTTTCCCTTTTAATTTATCGTGCTTATTATTACGCGAACGTTTCTCGTTTCGCTTAATACGCTTTCACGTTCAAAGACTGTAAACCGATGCAATTTTACTTCAACGTCGAAGCTAACGTAGCGTGCATAAAATAAACACATAAGGTACAGCGTGATTTATAAATTGTACCCAATTCTAGCACCGAGCATTCGAACGTATTTATATATACGTACATTATCGATCCTATGTACAATTTGTAATTTCAGTAACTTATCGATTGCCGTGCCATTTCAGTGGATCCAGGTGGCCAAATAAACAGATAAATTACTTTACCTGGAAAATCATTTTTGGACCATAACCTCGCGCGAACGTATTTACAAAAATAAATCCGGGACCGACCATTTTGACAGGCATGTAATTCGCGTAAATTCCCGTAATTAAATTCCAAAGAAGAAGAAAATACAATCTCGATGCCCGATTTTCGTCTTCCTCCATCTGCCATTCGAGGCACGGTGTATTATATTCCCTCAGTCAACTAAGTAGAATCCGAAACAACGAGGCAACTGCTCGACTATTTAGGTACTTAGCTAATCGCGCGGAATCGAAAACGCATTACAGTACCGGACTTGCCGAAACTTCTGCGGAAGATGCATAACTCGAGATAGCAGCGACTTAGACAGCCAGATATATCCCGGTAATTCCCGAATTGCAAAACACATCAGTCAGCCGATCCCGTGCCGGCAAACTCGATAACAGAATCAATTTCGCTGGCAACTTGTCCAACGAATTGATTCGCGAAACAGCGAACACCGGGATCGTTTAACAGGTTGATTTTATCAGTGTGTTACGCGCACACGGGATCACCGGTTATAGATGGCCGAGCGACGTTTACAGTTTCGTTGGATTTATAGCCATCGAACGGACGACGGGCCCTATGGTGCATTATCTTACTTGCGGTTTCGGGCCTGCGACGTTCCACCGGCGCGTTCTCCGTGGAATAAAAGAAAAATCGGCTTCGAAAAGCAGTTTGCCGTACAACAGGCAGGATATATTAACACATAAATCGTTACTCGTTATGGCAGCGGGCATGGGACGGCAGGATGGGAAGGCAGAACTTCATCGCTAACCGCTAACAAGCCAACTAACGCGAGATCAACAGCACGACTCGGTTATACGTCGAAGTCAATTCTTGGAAGCTTTTGAAAATTCCTTCTCTAGATTCTTT